GAAAACAAAAATATCTAAAGAACTATTCTCGCCTCTGCCTTCATACGCTTATTACCTGTTTTGTTTTCAGCTATTTCTGTTCGCATTTGACTCCATGAATACCTACAAGAAAAAAATAGGTACTTCCACATATTCAGCCTTTACTCACTTTTATCGATAAATAAGAACAGCCGAAATTAATTTGATCAATTCAGTTAATAATACTACGGATATAATATTGTAATTGTACGAGTGTGTCGATGTTTTGAATCCAGTAATTAAGAGACCTATTTATATAGATAGTGTAATAATGAAATGACAGCTAACGACTAGACAAACCTTGACTAATAAACAGACTCATATAGGTAATGAAAATGAGGAAGCTCCATCGAGTTGGAAACAAATCTGCGAAATTAATTTGACGGCATACGATGAACATCATATCATCCAACGACGAAAAAAATGCGGACTAATACACTAAAATTCGATGAAACAGTTATTAAGTTGTGTGTGTGTGTATGTGGGTGTGAGTAGAGAGAAGATAATCACCCACACCCTCAAGAATGAAAGTATTCAAATGAAGTGATTTGAAAAAATTCAAATAGTTTCTCATTTTCAAATTGTATTGTGTATGTGTGTCTATATATTCTTTTCGCCGAATAGTTTGTTTCGGTTGTTTTATAAAGTAACAACATTTGTAACTTTTTTTCTTTTTTTCCAACGACGCATTTTATTTCTCTTAAATGTGCATAACTTTAAAAGAAGCCCTTCAACATAAATAATAAAGAAAAAATATTCTTGCGTAGAAAAGAAAAAACAACTCATATGGATTTGAATGCATCAAAACTAAACAAATGTTGGCAGGCTGTGGTGTGGACGGAAGCATGGGTTTGGGTATGGGCGGATGTGACTATTACATTGATTACTCGCATCCACAGTCAAAGTCGCATCCATATCCACTCACATCCTTACCGACAGGCATCAACATATCCACCGCCATTCACACCCATACCTACACCCACCTACTCATTCACCCACACTCACTCACATACACCCACACATCCACATCGGCACCATAGCACAACCAAACCCACATCTACACCCGCACCCTAGCACATCTTCATCCAAACTAGGGCACATCTTTGACCACACCCAGTCTCACCCACATTTACATCCATACCTATAGCAACACCGAGGTACATCTTCACCCACACCCACACCTACTCGTACCGATACCCAAACTCACACCCATCCACATCCACGCGTACAAACCGCTCACTGGGCCATTTTTTTCTCTGATTTTTACTTGGAAAAAGCCAGGCATGTTTGTTTTTACGTCACGAAGCTGCTGACATGACGACAATGCTGTTTTTTTTCCAAGTAGCGATCGCTGCGGTAACGAATTCTGCATATTACATCAGTCATTCAACACGAATGCGAGAGAACATAAAATATGGTAGATACATTTATTTTAGGTTTCTATTGCAGAATCTCATCTGTACTTTCGTAACTAATTAAAACATTCATTATTTGGCAAACATATGGATCCCACTGGGAAAAAACCTTCAATTCTTTCGTCGATTAGAACTAAACGACTCATAAGCGCCTTAATACCTTTGTCTTTTACTTCATCAACAGCAACGGCAACTAATGCTGATATCTCTTCATCTACTGCTCCAACTGTCCGTCTTCGTCTTGGTGGTAAACACAAAACTCCGTTGCCATCAATTCAATCGTCTACTTCAACTACGTCTTGTTTCTCATCATCGACGACAATGATTGATGACGAAGTTATTGATTTAGAAAACTTTCTTGTTTCTCGGCTCGACACGGACTCACAGAAAAGTACAGTATCTTTTTTTCCTGCTCTTTGAGAATTAAATCCTGTTATCAATTATTTTGAAATATCTGACAACATAGACAATAGAATAGTTTATACGATAAGTATACGAACTCACCAGAGAATCGCCTGCAGAGTTGTAACCGGTCGGGCTTTTTTCTCACTGGTGCCGGTAGGAATCGGCCAGACCGGTTTACCGGCCGGTCGACCGACATAATTTTTTACGAGCTTATCATTAAATACATAGGTATGGGTGTGGAAGTCGGTGTTAGTGCAATAATAAAAATAAAACGGACGTCCACACGCATACCCTCCTTTGATGTCGACAGAAGATCTCGACATCTCAGAAAAGTATATAGAGTTTGAGAAACGGACAATCATTGTGATGGCAATTGGTTCTATTTCCTATCAATATAGGTACCAGTAGTTTGTTAAAATTTGCTGAGAACCATGGTAGCAGTGGCGGATTTAGGGGGGGGGGGCGATCACCCCCATCGCCCCCCCCCCCATTCCGACTTTTTTTTGATTTTTACAGCAAAAATGAACGAAAAAATAGGTTCACACTACTTCGGTTGGACTCAAAAAATAGCTTCTAACCAAAATCGCCCCCCCTCCATACTCGAAAAAAAAATCCCCCACCCCCTCCCGAGATATCGCTCCTCAATACTCAAAATAAAAAAATCCACCACCCCTTCCCCAGCTATCGCCCCTCCACACTAAAAAAAAAAAAATCGCCCCCCCTTCCAAAATCCTAGATCCGCCACTGCATGGTAGAAATGCTTTGCTATGCAAAGCCACATTGATATGATTAAAAGCTTTCTTTTTAACCAAACCTGCCCTTCCCCCCTCCATAATAAAAGAGCCGGTGGCCTTCTTTTGCGGTTTCACACTTCGCACTTTTCTGTAAAAAAATCCCCGTACCCCTATAAGGTGCGTTTTTTCGATTGTTTCTCCAGAGGAGTCTATTATTTCGTGGACCTCTTAATACTGGAGGACCTTCTGTTCCGAGGGTGGAGGGACAGTTCATAAAACTAGGACTAAATAGGAAATTTGACTTCTAATTTTCTAAAAAAAATCATATTTTGTAGCAGTTTTATCAAACAAAACTAATAAAAATTAGAAAAAATCTGTACTGGGCCGGTTGAAAAATATCTGTTTCGACCGACAGGTCTACCGGCTGGTCCTGAATTCTTGACCGGACCCGACCCGACCCAACCAAGCCGGGCCTGCCGGTTGCCGTTACCGGTTACAACTCTGATCGCCTGAAGTGATTAAGAGCTTTTTAGCTGACATTTTGTTTATGAGTAGGGCTCGACGAGACTAGATAAAGTCTAAAAATGAGAGCTCATATGTCTTTCTTTGCGAGTTAGAGTCATTTTGGCAGGTTTTTCCCTTATGACGTTGTATTCATCGAAGACGTAAATTACAGTATTTTGATCTGAAATTTTGCGCACGTGTGCCCTTCATCATCCTATAGTATCCTAAAAGTTTCAATTAAAACAAGCGGTCTTTTTCGTAAAAATGAGTACTCACGGAACGTCGATTTTCTTGCCACGTCTGTAGCATGAGAGGATTTGCTTAACAAGTAGATATTTCGTGACAGAAGCATTTGTTTTCGCTGAAACTTTTAGGATAATATAGGGATTATATGAAACGCATGTGTACAAAATTTCAGACCGAAACACTGCAATTTACTTCTTCGGTGAACATAGCGTCGTAAGGGAAAAACCTACTAAAATGATCTTGACTCTTGACGCTGTGGGTGAGTCTCTGTGAGTTTCACTGTGCTAAGGGCAGCAGTAGTTTAGAAGTTGTTAACGCGTTCGACTTGAACGGAAGTTATACAGGATTTGACTCCTAGAAGCCATTGTACGAGAAAAACAACCGTTTTCTCAATATGGGTGCTCAATGATAATCACGGATCAAAGTTTGATCACGGCCATCTTGTAGAGAATGTTTTTTAGGGATAAATCCAAATTTTTAGCCCCAAAGCTTGGAAATTGACTGATATATGAATTACCGGCTGAAAGCACCAAAATGGGTTTTTTTCAAATTTTGATTTTTTTACGTGGTCAACGACTAGCAGTATTTTTGAAATATCTCTCGACCAGAATGTGATAGAGACCTGAAATTTTTATCAGAAGTACATTCAGACATGGGGAACATAATCATAGTATCAAATAAGGGATATGTCATGAAAAATTATTTGACCAGTGTTACCACATATATACCCAAAAGTGGTATAACTTGGGGACCAGCGT